ATGTTTCCGTCTTAATGGTAAGGGTATTTATGGGAAGTAGAATTGTGTGCAGAGTAACTAATCGGAACCTTGCTTGACATGCGTTCAGCCAGTACCATATGTATTGGAACGACGCGTCTCCTTTTCATCCGATCAGCATTAACGGTTAAATTTTTTAAAATTTACCTAACCCGCGTTAATTTATATAACCCTTTTAGCTAGTGAATAACTCATTCGTATAAATATATTTTTTATCCTTTTTTTTCTCTATTTTTTATATATATTGTTTTTTATCTCAAGTCTCAATTATCATTTTTGTAATGCTTGGTGCTAACTACACGTGTGAAATACTATAAACACATTGCAATATCAATTATAATTATAAACAAATAATTATATGCTTTTAAAAGTATATCTTTTTAGAATAATTGATGAATACAAGAATTTATATCGGTGAATATTTATAATATTTATAAAAAATTAATTTAATCTAAAATATTTAATTTTTTTATTTAAAAAAATTAAATACATCGAATATATAATTTATAAAATATTAAAAATTAAGTTGAATGTAATTATGTATAATAACAGGAGCCATGAACACCCCTAATCAGCATAAACCCTTTCACACCTTTTCTTTGTGGCTGTATCCATTGTTTTTGTCTCGTTGATTTTTTATTTTTCTCATTATATCAATTCTACTGGGATGCAAATATTGACACGTATACCTAAAATAATCCCCTCTAGCTTTAATTATAGAAAGTAACTGATGATTATAAATTTAGAGTGTGTTTGAAATATTTTTGAATTGTGATTTTTTTTTTATTTTAAATTATAATTCGAATTTTTTATATAATTAACTCACAAAAAATACTTTAAATTACTTTAAATATAAATATGTTTCCTTTATCAACGTAGAGTATGAATGTAATTAATTAACATGTACTGAAGGCCTGGCTTTTCACTTTAACAATGAATAGTAAAAATTCAATTTTTTTATTTTATTTTGGTTCTCGTATTTATGAGGTGATTTTTTTTAATTTTATTTTTAATATTAAATTTATAGGATATTAAATTTTATAATTTTTTTTAATTTTTTTTATATATAGTTTCTCAATGTAATAATCTAAATTACTAATTTTACAAATTAGTCATATTATTAGTATTATTTTTTTATGTTTTAATTATTATTTTATTTACTTCATCCTTTAATAATAAATTGATTGGATTGAGCTTCATAATTATTTTTTAATTTATTTTTTATAAGGTTATTATGATCTCATAATCAAGCTAACTAAGTTGACTTAAGTATTTTTTTGTTTTTTTTATTTTTTTTAATCATATTTTTCAATATTGGATTAATTGGAAATTTAACTTTATATTTTGTTTCGATTTTTTTTTACGGGTTATCTATATCTCATGACTTATGTTTGACAAATTAATCTGAATTGAATCAGTTTTTTTTTAGTTAAATTTTATTTTAATTTTATTCTTTAATATTGGGTTGATTGAGAATTAAATTTAATATTTTTTTATTTGTTTTTTATTAGGTTATTAAGATCTCATAATCTAAATAACAAATTTTATAGGTTAACTCAAATTGATCTAAATCGATTTAATATATTTTCATTTTAATATTTTAAAAAAAATATCATCTTTTTTTTTTCTTTAAATTAAACTATATTTTTCTTGATTATTCTTATTATTTTTGAATTTATCAAGTTATTCAAGTCACGTCATATCAATATTAGTTAATTGTTTTCCCTAGAAACCACGTTAACAACAGCTATGTAGCGTAGGCAATGAAGCAGTTTAAGCTATAATCTAAATATTAAAGTTAAAAGGTTCAACTTTTGATGAAATAAAAGAGTTTTGCTCGATTTTATAACAAAATTAAAAAATTATTTATAACAAAAAATATTTGTAAGTTTTTAGTGAAAAAAAAACGTAGATCTATTTATAAAAATCATATCAAACACAATCTTAAATTTATGATTTTTAAATTATAATTTTTTATTTTGAGTTATAATTTAAAAATTATGTTTCATAAACAACTTATTAAAAAATTTTATTCAATCTGAAATATTCATCCATGATTAACCACTTGATGGCCGATGTTCCATAGACCACTTTTAGGTACGCCCACTGATATAGGATGGATAATTGATTACAAATAAAATGATTCATGTGACAAACATTTTACTATGCTTGCATTATTGCAACAGGTGATAAAAAAAAGTTGGTAAAAAAGTGAAGGGCATCTAAAGCATAGGGTATTATTCTAGTAAACAAAATATCGAACCAGAGCAATGTAAATACGATAATATTATAAATAAAATTAAAACTCATCATTTTATTTTAGATTAAGCATAATAAAATAACAAAGGAGTCATTTAATAACCACAAAAATAAACATATATTTTTGGGGGTAGAATCATATTTACCGCATGCTATAATTACTCTCATACCTTTGAAAAAAAAAAACACAACTAATGTTTTAAGGGTGTTTTTGAATTTTTATATTTTTTATACAATATAATTATTGTATAACTCTTACGGTTAATTTTTTTTGTCTAAAGTTAAAGGGCATTTTAAGTTTTTTAACTTTGATTTTCTTAAAATTATCTTATGAGATTATGAGTGTTTTGCCTATTGTATAATTCAAAAAAAAAAAATTGTTTGTGTAAAGCATGTTTCAACAAGTAAGAAGTGCCTATGTTTTTTAGGTGGTGTGTGAGGTACCTCTCAATCACCATTGGTAGCCCTTTACGATGGCATCCAAAGCATCATTCCACCTTCTATATGGTGGGTCGATGGGTGCTGGTTTTCGTGGCATGAAGAAGCTCCTGTGATAATTTGTTTTTCTTTCTCCTTCACCTAAAAAGGTGTGTTGGTCTTGTAAAATTGCAAAATAATCTTCAATCATTTAATTATATTAAATTTAATTTTTTTTAATTTCATCTCTTAACATTTTATTTTTAATGTTTTTAAAATGAAATTTGATCGGTATTGTTTTTTATTCCTATTTATTTTGCTTTTAATCTTTTTTAATTGGATTTTATTTTTCAATTTAATCTCTAATATTTTAATTTTAATTTTTTTTGTTGAATTTGATTCTCATTCTTATGATTGCAATTCTTTTTATTTTGAGCTCTCTTCTTGATTAATTTTTTTTAACAATTTTATCCCTTATCATTTAATTTCATTAAATTTTTATATCATATTTGATATTCATTTTTTTATCATGCTTTCAAAATCCAACATGGGAATCGACCATCATCATGTCCCCTGTCAAGGGTTATATTGAATAATCAAGGTTAACGGAGCCAGTTAGATTTTTTTATTATGCATAAAGTAAAATTAACATTATTTTGAGAAAAAGAATAACAGCAAAAAAAAAAAATCAACAGGTGTGAACATGATTTTCCTTAACTAATCTCTTGATTTTTTATTATGCTAAAAAGTAAAAATGATATTATTTTGATAAAAAAATAATGGAGAAAAAACATTCAATTATGATCCTTTCTTTTTTATTGGTTTTTTAAAATTCTTTTTTAGATTTTTTTTGCAATTTCATCTATTTCCATTTAATTTTGTTTTGTTTTTATATTAAAAATGGTACTCATTTTCTTGATTGTTGCTTTTTTTAATTATTTTCTTGGTTTTTTCTTTTAATTTCCCCCTTAACATTTTATTTCATATCTTTTTTTTTTCAAATTTAGTTCCTATTTTTTTAATTTCTCATTTTTATCCTTTTCTTAATTTGTTTTATCTTTTAATTTTGTTCCTCAACATTTTATTTCATTTGTCTTTTTATCCAATTTTAGTTCTTATTTTTTTAATTGCTTTTTTTATCCCTTTTCTTTTTGTATTCTATTTTTCAATTAAGTCCCTTATTATTTTTTTCATTAGTTTTTATACCAAATTTTGTTCTCATGTTTTGATCACCATTTGTTTTCTTTTTAGTTTTTTGATGGTTAATAATTTTGTTTAAGATTGTATTGGTCTTTTACACGGTTATTTTGATGTCATAATCAAATTACTAATTTCAAAAATTAATTTGATTTAACTTTAGTTTTTTTTATTTTTTAATTTCATCCTTGGAGGGATTAAGGTATGTTTTCTTTAAATATTTATTTGAAGGTAAAAATCCAATTGTTGGCTTCACGCAGTTAATTTAATGCGACAGTAGTTGATTTATGTATTTTTATACATAACAAATTGTTGAGTTAATGGGACTCTTGAAACTTTGAAAAGAAAACAAGAGCACTCATGAAGCAACTTCATGAAAAGTATTCATTGTTGTTTTTATTGATTTTCTCCACTGACATGCATGGAAAATACATAACTGATGAATATATATTGCGTGTATGAAAAGATTGCCACTGTTATAGTTAATAATTAAAAAAAGTATTAATGTGAAAAAAAAACAATGCAGAAGAAAGCACAAATGGCAGAATTCGAAAAAAAAATGCAGAAGAAAGCACAAATGGCAGAATTTTGTTGACAAATTATGTATATTTTACATTTCCATGGAAAACTCCAAATAACGAGCGAGGATACCATTCAAAGGATCAAACCCCAAAACATTTAATCATCATGTTTAAAGAATGAGATATTACAGGAAAACATTGTTGATATTATATCATGATTGGTTTTATGATGATTATTTATTTAATATTCTAGCTTATTTATGACTATGTTTATGATATTTTTATTTAGTATACCCACATGAAAATAACAAACCACTCGAAAGAAATTTCAAATAGGAAGGAGTTATGAAACAAAATATAAAATGACTTGAAGGCCTAGTGATAGAAAGGAGCTGCATTGATGTCTGGAGAGGCTGCTGGTGCTGCATTTGGCAAAACATGATGAGATATAATGTATTGGAATGGAGACGAAATGGATGATAACTTTCCAGGAGGGAGGGAGACCTTTCTGACTCAGAACACTCCCTGAAAAGTAGAAGACTTCGACAAATGAAAAGGAAAAAAAATCATTGCAAATAAAACATATAATGAGCATAAATTAGACAGAAGCATCTGAGCAAACTAGTATATAGAGTAATAGATCTCTGTTTCGATGCTCCTATTCTGCTGATACAATTTTGGTTGGACATTTGATGGATTTCTTCAATTACTCTCCCAGCTGATCCCCTGCCATGCTGGTGAACATATGCACTGCTTTTTTTTTTTTTTTTTCTGGAAAGAGTTGTTTATGCTGGGCTGGAGAGCTGCAAGTATTGATCTCTTGTGCCTTCACAAGTCTGTTCTTCAGGCCTGCATATTTGGGTTTTGCACTGTTATGCCTTCACAAGTCTGTTCTTCAATTGCAGGCCTGCATATTTGGGTTTTGCACTGTTATTTGATCCATAGTTTCGGCTCATCTTGTCCAGTCCTAGTGTTCCGCAGCAACTCTTGAGTCTTGACAAGCTCAAATTGAGACCAAGAAACTGAAATTTAATTTAAAATGTTGGGATTTATCTGTCATTAGTCAATTCTCAATAGATTAACGCGGAGTTAAGCTTTCTCGTGAGAAAACGAATGAACACCAACCAATGGACCACACACTTGGAAGAAAAGCAAACAACAGCAAAACTCAACATAAGAAAATAACAAGCTGCTATTATTTTAATTACCATGATTCATTAAACAAATCATTGAGCAATAAGAATACTTAATCAAGAAGTTGACAGGTTTAGCGATAAAAAAGAGAGAGCACCATTGCTTTTCTCTCTTCTTTCTCTCTACCAACCAGCTAGCTTCATTATTTTCCAACGAACATCAAATCATTAAGATAAAAATCAACACCCACTTCCTCTATCCACAAGGTGCATAGAAGCAATCTTACTTTCATCTGTCCACTCTTGTTTCTGTAGTTAATTTGTTGATAAGTAGCCAGGCCTGAGAATGAGTTGAAGGATGGTAGTGTGTACACACAAACCAAGCTGCAGTGCTACCTCAAAGATTATTGTATCAGATGACAACTACCGTAAGATAAATATATAACCAGCTGCCATCTCCTTGTGACAATGCTTGTTAGCCTGTAAGAAACTTCAATATTTCTGCACCCATAAGGTACAGAACATTCTTATTTCTCACCCTTTGCTAAAAACGAGAAAGGCCGTCTTTTTTTCATCCTACTCTTCCGCTCTCATTTTCAATCTTTGATGATGTTCAATGGAGTTCTAGATTTGATTTGTTGTCTTAATTCTATAGAGATTTGACAGCTTACTTTGTAGTTCTTTTCATGCATGCCTTTGACAGGATTTTGGAGTAGGATTTTTTCAGTCTCGAGAACAATTATCTATTCTGCTTTCATAACGTGAAAGAATAGCGAGTTGTTTCACTCTCTGTTTATTATGAAAAATTCTTGTACTCTGTGAAGAGGTTATATGAAATATGAATCATTTTTATCACAATCTTAAATAATAGGGGCAGATTCAATTTTTGGTAGTGCCCAATGGTTCAATCTGTGGCACATCATATTTTCATCAAGAGTTATACTCCCTTCCTTGGATCCATCAAGAGTTCTACTTACTAGATATGTATGCATGATGGCATAAACAAGCAAGTGCTCTTGATAAGTACATACGGTTCTATGTCCTGGAGATTTTAACAAGTTGTTTTGAGTAAGTTCTGTTTTCTTTGTTGCTTGATTCTTCTCCTTATTTCTTTTGATTCATTGTTTAGTTTGTATGGCTGTTGTGTAGATAAAGGGAGATGGAAGAGGAAATGGTGGATCAGTATTGGTGTCACATGTGTTCTCAGATGGTGAACCCGGTAACGGAAGCTGAGATTAAATGCCCATTCTGTGAGAGTGGTTTTCTGGAAGAGATGGGCAGCGTGAGAGAAGTCAATAACAATATCTTTGATTTAGGATCAGAACATGCATTCTCTCCTTGGGATACGTTCTTGCTGGACCTTATGGGTGGCTTAGGCACTTCTGGTTCACGTAGAACAGCTCAAGAACATATTAGCAGTACCAGTTCCCAAGATGAAGATGATGAGCTAGACTTCGGGTCCTTACTTCGAAGAAGAGGTAGATTAAGCACATCTTCAGTCCAACGCTTACTTCAAGATCTTCATTTGAGGTCAGAGAATCCTGAAAATGACAGGGAGAGCAGCGGCGGCAGTAGTAGTAGTAGCAGTAGTGTGATTTTGGTCAATCCTTTCAATGAAGAGGCAATAATTCTTCACAGTCCTGATACCATGAACCAACCAGAAAACCCGAGTCAAAACGTGTCATTTTCTTTCCAGGACTATCTTATAGGACCTGATGTGGATTTATTGCTACATCATTTGGCAGAGAGTGGTCCTAACCGATACGGGACTCCTCCAGCAGGGAAAGAAGCAGTTAAAGCAATGCCAACAGTTTCCATTACGCAGAATTTGCAGTGTTCAGTTTGCCTGGAAGAGTTCGACATTGGATGTGAAGCAAAGGAGATGCCATGTAAACACAAATTTCATGGAGAGTGTATTGTTCCATGGCTGGAACTTCATAGTTCCTGCCCAGTTTGCAGGTTCCTAATGCCCTCTGATGATTCCACGACTGGAGTAAGCCACTCGAGAAGTGACGAAGAGAGAACGGGGAGAAATGATGCTAGGATCATTAATAATGGGAGAAGGTATTGGGTCCCTATCCCATGGCCTTTTGATGGTTTGTTTCCTTTATCAGGATCTCAAAATGGTGGGAGTTCTTCATCAGCACCGTCATCAACCACCATGCGTGGAAGTGCTTCCTACTCCGATGAAACTTGAACACTTGTGTTCCTAACGTACTTGTGCTTCTATTATATGTTTCCATGCCTTTCTTCAGTGTATCGCCATCTTATCTTAGCAAAATGGTTTTCTGCAAACCGTTTCACGTATAGAAACAACTTTATGGTTTGAGAAATTGATTGCTTCTGTTGCTGTCTTCCAATTTGTTATTTATATACTTTATGGAACCTTTTCTCCTTGCGGTGGGATTGGTGCCCAAACTAAACAACTCAACATTGCATTGGCCTCTGGGATTAAACCCTTCTACTACTGAATGGGCTTAGAAATGCAGAAAGACTAATGGAACATGGAAAAAACAGATCCCATACGGCATGTAAGCAGAGCAAAAAATAAATTGCCAAAATTGTGAAGATGCACTCTTCCAATATTCAATTATTTATCATTGATCCAACACCAGTTAAACTAGAGATAAACTAACAAAAAATTAAATGCCTCAAAATCTGTAGAATCTTTCAATTGAAGCCGTGCACGATATGATCACTGCTGCACTTGCAAGACCTTGATCACAGAAGCAGCGCCAATCTTGTGCAATGCCACAACCGAGTCTCCTGGCTTGCATAGTCCCTTTATCTTTGCATAATGAAAGGCCTGCTCAATTGTCTCTTCAGTTGACTCAGTATGATAAATTTTTCCGGACACTGAGCTCAAAACAGGCATAAGACCCCTGTAAATAAGGCTATGTCTTGCTGGAGCTTCATCACTGCACGACCATTCAAAGAAATCAGTTCGAATCTCTGGAACAATCATTGACAAAATTGGCATGCTTGGTCGGTACTTAGACACTAACTTTGCTGTGGTTCCACCCTTGGTCAGGACTAAAATAAATGCTGCTTTGATGGTGTTTGCTGTCCTGACTGCTGAAGAAGCCATACTTTCTAAAGGGGTCATAGGCATAGGAGCGGTAACCATGATTGTCTTGAAAAGATGCCCATAATCTATGAAGTTCTCTGCCTCCATGCATATTCTGGACATGGTTTGAACAGCAAGCTCAGGGTAGGCTCCAGCAGCGGTTTCTCCACTGAGCATCACACAATCAGTACCATCAAGAACGGCATTGGCAACATCTGTAGCTTCAGCTCTAGTCGGCCTTGGAGACTTGATCATGGATTCCAACATCTGAGTAGCAGTCACTACAGGCTTTCCTTTTATGTTGGCCTTGTGTATCATCACTTTTTGAGCTAGGAATATTTTCTCAATTGGAATTTCCATTCCCAGGTCACCTCGTGCCACCATAAATGCATCAGAATTTGCAAGAATTTCATCAAAATTAGCAACCCCTTCTTGGTTTTCTACCTGCCAAAATAAAGAACCAAAAAGTCAATTTGATGTTATTTTTGCTTCAAAACTGTAAATCCGTTTTAGCTCGACATTAGCTATTCATAGCGTGGAGTCACTTTGTATGCATTTCTGAGTTACCATAGTAATCTGTATCAATCTTAAGAAGTCACTTTTTAGTTCTAAAAGAGAAAGTTAGAACCTTTGACATGAGAAGGATGTTCTTTCCATCATCACCTAGCAGCTTTCTGACCTCCATGAGATCTGAACCTTTGCGAACAAAGGACAGTGCGATCATGTCAATCTTATTGGGGACACCCCACTTCAGGATATCCTCCTTATCCTTCTCTGTTAAGGTAGGGAGATCGACGACAACTCCAGGAAGATTCACATTCTTCTTCTCACCCAAAACAGCAGAATTCTCACAGCGACAACGGATCAACCCTGCTTCCCTGTCACAAGCCAACACTGTCAGTGAAATTGTGCCATCAGAACACAAAATAACACTCCCTGGCTGGACATCTTCAGCCAGCTTTTTGTAGCTCATGCAGATCATATTCCCATCACCCTTTAAGCCATAATCAGTAGAAATAAGTATCTCTTGACCCTGCTTGAGTTGTACAGGCTTCCCATCCTTCAAGAATCCAGTTCGGATTTCCGGTCCCTGAGCATATCACAATTTACGAACATTAGAAGTTAGCCAAGTTCATTGTGTTGCAGTTAGAATTCCGAAACACATGGAAAAATTCAGCATGATCTTTAAGCCATATTTGAAAACCTCATCATTGAGAATAAAATAAGGTTGCACATAAGGAAGAAGAAGATATTTGCAAAACAAATCCAATACCATGCAAGACCAAAGTTGATTCCCTAGGCAGCCTATCCCCCATAGCAATTACACAGTACATGACCACCAATTTTATTTTATTCTTCGAGGAGTAGAGAACTTATTTTGTGGAACTTAACATTAATTCCCTTGTCTCCTTCCATAATTCATTGATTACACTAAAACAACAGCAAATGGAAGTTTATACTTAGAATTATGCCTATACACGGGACAGGCCGGGTTGGCCTAAAGAGAACATCAATATTTTCCACATAAGCACATCAAATTGAGGATGGCCACAGAAAGAAGAAGAGTGTTTGCCCATTATATTGCTTTTCTTAATATTTAATAGTCAAATCCCAAACCCTTAAAAACATAATATGTTGAATCTTTGTTGGAATTCTTCTGGAAAAACAATATGAATTGAACGAAGAATTTCCTAATTGATCTAGAGCAAATTAATAAAATTTGTTCGTCGAACTGCATGCTTGGGGGGATCTAGAATTGCCATTAGTTAATTTGTAATTAAACTAAGTTTAATAACATCGAATCAGTAATATC